GATGGCGGTGTCTCGACTGTACGGTGTGCGAGGGATGCGGTCGAGGCGATGACGAACAGCAGCTACTGCTGTGCGACGAGTGCGACGTGTCGTTCCACACCTACTGCTTGAACCCTCCTCTAGCAGCCATCCCTCAAGGCTCTTGGCGTTGCAAATGGTTTGTCGTTTGCTTTTACATTTATCTCGTTGTCCGTTTCCGTTTCTGCATGGACATTAACCATACTCTCTGTCTCTGCAGGTGTTCCAGTTGCCAACTTTGCGGTTCCTCGCGACTGCCACTCCTCGAGTACAGTGGCAGCGTGAAAGTATGTGCCAAGTGCTACAGTCTGTACACGTGTCCGATCTGTCGCGCCGACTACCGGGACGAGGATCTCATAATCCTGTGTGAGCAGTGTTTGTGGTATGACGCGACTGTTTCGCAGTCTCATATTGTCTGGTGTCTCATCTGACGGTTTCATTCTTCAGCTGGAGTCACAGTAAATGCAATGGCCTGCTCTCGGACGAGCTGGTCGACAAGGCTGCTGACGTCGGTTTCTTCTGTCTCCTGTGCCGACCCCTCGGCTGTAACATGGCGATGTATAAAGAAGTTCAGTCGACAGTGGCTCCGACCTCGGTCGCCTCACTGTCCAATCCCCCGGCGAAATTGCCGACCACATCGACGGCGGTGGCGGTTTCGGCGCAGTTCGTCATGGAAGGTGTGATGCTGACCAAACGCGGCATTTCCGCTGTCCAGTGGAGAAGTAAAAATCCATCGATGTCGTTGACTACTTCCGTTGAGCCGACCAGCACCATGTGCGCCCAGGCGACAACCAACCGCATTTTGCAGGACCTGAACGAAACGTTTGACTGCAATGGCAATTTCTTGAGTCGTGCGTTGGCCGAAGACCCGATCGACGGTAAATGGCTTCTCGCCAATTTCTTTACCTTCCTCTGTCCCTGTTCGTTTTTCCTTCTTTTTGGTCGTAGGTCTATCGTCCTCTTATAGAAATGACTCGTAATCTATGAAGTAATGGCGTTTTACTTAAGACAACACAGTTACAGTGTCTTAGGCTCCGTACACAACAACAGCGCAAAGATATCAAACCCGCAGTGGGTAATCCAGAAAGTGGACAAGCGAATCTGCTGAAGGCCGATGATACAGAGT